GGGAACACGGATTTTGGTGATCCGTGTTCGTTGTAAAATTACAGTTACACGGATTTCCAGAATCCGTGTTTCTTTAAAACACGGATTGTGAGAATCCGTCCGTTTTATTTTTGTCCACAATTTTTTTTTTTGTTTTATTTTAGTCCACTTATTTTTTATTTTTTTTAAATAAATAAATGATTTGATAAATAAATTGAATATCTCATAATTTTTTTTTTAAAAAAAAAACAAATACCAAATAAGTATCTCAAGATTCTTTGAAGTTCTAAAAAGTTTTAATTCAATACACCAATATTCCTAAAACGGATCTCTTTAGATACCTCTCATACATATTTGACAATAAATATCTTACATCTCATTGTTAGATTGATCAAAATTCCGTTCCCTATCATACATTTAATGTAATCGAGAAAAAAAATATGTCGAATGCCCCACACATTGCCGCGTACACTTTGTACATGCGGAACACTATTATATCATTACTTAATTTTGATTATAATCTATTTTAATAGATAAAATAGTGTATTTAATTCAAGATCATGTATACAAAAGTAAAAATAAGTTAAACAATATAGGCTGTTAAATTTAAAACACTTCATAATTGACGATTCGATCGTTTCGCTGCCACTCAGCACCACTGGCACCATAGGTCGACTGTCGTTCGTCGTCTGCCTACCAATTATGAATTTCAGTAAATTATACATTATTTTGAGTTGCTCGACTTTGTTTTTCCAAGGGCATGTTTAATTTCATCAGATGATACCTCAATTTTTGTTAAATCAGTGTTAAAGTTTTCGCAAAAAACAAAGAATTGTGCTTTAAAATTTGTTAGAATGTCATTGAAGATCCAGCCTCTGTGTTTTCGTAAAACATATAGGTATAAAAAGACCTTTTCACAAGGAATGAAATTGTATCGAACACAATGGTTTTGGCCTTGTGCAATTTAGAATTGTATTTTTTAAGACATGCATTTTTGAATATTATGTGTCTGGTGGAACTTGTAAAATTCGTGATAATTCACTCAGTTGTCCAAATTATTTAAATTTTTAATATGTTACTCCTGTGACATATATTGACTTCGTGTTTAAATTTCGCAAAACCAAAAAAATGTCGACGAATTATCAAATGTTCAACGATGCGCAACAACGAGATAAAAAAATTAGTCGGGGACTTGGTTGCCCAAATTTAGTGGGTGAACTCTTATTTTATTCCTCAATTTAGAAGCAATAATACATCTTAATCAATTTGATGTTTATTAATAAATTATTATTTAAAGAAAAAATTTTGAAATTCATTTTGTTTGATATCTATCACCACTAGCAAATATGCCCCACCATTTGTAGAGATGTGAATTTTCTTATAACGACCAAAAACTTGATTTAGTAGGTTCTAATTATTTATTTATTTATATATTTTTGTGATGTAAAGCTTAGATGTTTGGTTTTCCAATAATTAAATTAAATAACTAATTTTTGGTTAAGATTGGTCACATACTCACTCACTCCGTATTATCTATATCAGCTGTTTTGGCTTGAGGTTTTGGTTTTTGATTATTTATTATCACATTCCAAAACATGCTTTTTTTAGTCTTCATAAAAATATTCATTTTTTTTTTTTGTACATAGAAGACGGCCAACGGCCTTAAGCTAGAACTTGACGGGGATACGATATCTCGAGAATATCGTGATCAAGCCAGGCACCTAAGGCACCTAACCCAGCAGGAGGGGAAGCCAGACGGTGTAATCCAGGCGGGCAGGACACCGCCATATTCGCCAAATGATCGACTGCGAAGTTCGCTTCCCTATAAATATGGTTGATACGAACACTCCAATTCCGGCGGAGAAGATCTCGAATCGCTCTAACCATAGCCTCATTAGGTCCCAGAGCTCTAGCCGACTCGCAAACCATTCGCTGAACACAAAGGCTATCAACCTCGACCTCAACTTTCACGAATCCCAAATCCCACGCCAACATAAGTCCTTAAAACAACCCCCACAGCTCAGCTCCCGTGATAGTGCACCAAGCAATATTGAACATAAACCCGGCCCTCCATCGCCCAACCTCATCTCAAATCAAACCCCCGGTACAACTTAGGCCCGAGGCTTGAGAAATGGCACCATCAGAATTTACTTTGACCCAATCTGCACTTGGAGAAGACCACCAAACCATGCGAGTCACATGCACAGCCGCGCCTACACAAGCATAATCCGCCAATGCTCGGGAATAATTCCGTCAACCGTAACACCTCCACTCTCCGATCCTCCATACCTAGGGATTTTTGCTGAAAGATTATCTCGTTCCTCCATAATCATGCACGCCAAACGGTTATCGCGAACTTGCTGCTCCACCTCTCGCATACCCATGCCCGCACCAACAACAGATTCGGGAGTATCCACGGCAATATTCATTTATTTTTAACTTACCATGACCACTTGATAATTTTTTATTTATTTTTTACCTGACGGTCATATTTTTCTCTACAAACTATTTGATAAATATCTCAATCAAAGCTAATAATGGGTAAATTTCAGAAAAGATAAAAAAACAAAATATAGATCAGAAAAGATAAATAATGAGTAAATACCATCATGCAGTGTAATTATCGATTTTATTTTATTTTTAATCATTTTATCAACCATCGATTTTTTTGTCGTGTAATCAACATACTCAGTATGTATATTTGTGTATATTGATTCAGAAACCCAATGATGTATCAAATTCCATGATAGACATGTAAACCTACTAAGATTATGTCTGGTAAAACGCGCATCGCGCAATGCGTCGCGTTTTGGTCTTTATATTGCGTAGCGTAAATAACGTAGCGCATTGCGTAAGTTATTCGAACAATTCACTTTTAATGCCAAAAATAATAATAGATAACCATACAAGCGAATAAATAATTAAAATGCTCCTAAACCATAAATTAACTTGGATATTGAATCTAAAAAATAATATTCAAATATTAATTCTTCAAACAACCAAAGTCTTCATGTTTCAAGTAAAGACTCAAAATCTTAAAATGATTGGCGTTATCCAATTGAATTTGGCTATCATCGTCAATTCTATCAAAGTTATGAGATTTTTACTACAAAAAACCGTTAGTACAATTTCACCAAATTCTTGCATCCCCTCATGATTTGGAGAAAAAATGAATGTGTTTTTCTCATTTCACTTTTGAGCTTAAGAAACATAAATATCTCATGATTCTAATAGTCCAAATAGTCAATCCTAGCTATATTGATATCAATTTTTCAAATAATTTTTTTTTTCAAGAGAAATACGAAACATGATTTAATAATCACTCATATTCGTCATGGGAGAAATTACTCAATTTTGTGCCCTACGTTTATTTTTTTGTATTTTATTATTTTATTTTTTGCCTATAAATAAGGATTGCCCAAATAACGTGAGAAATAGCGCAAATTACGTAAATAGCGCAAAATATTGCGTAAATTGTGTGCGCTTTATGGAACTGCGCGAAATTATATATGCTATATCGCGTTTTGGGGTAAATGCACTATAGCGCGCAAAAATTGCGCTATTTAAAACATTGGGTAAACCTAACTGATAAAATAACAGATAACTAAAAGTTAGCTGATAGTTTACGGGTGAACTTCGAGTTTATAGTCGATAGCTTATAAATTATGACTGAAAAACTAGCTTATATATCAAAACTGTTTGGTAAAACTACTTAATAAGCAATTTCAACGAACTTATTTGACAAGAAATCTTATGAGACAAACTCGAACTTCTTAAAAAATTTATCACATTAAACGTAGTTTATTTGAATATAAGAAACTTATAAACTGACTAAGTAAGATATAAGTTAGCCTATGTTACTTATCAAATACACTCTAAAATGAGATAATACTACGGTCCCGTTACGGAACCGTTCCGTTAGAATTTGTAACCGTTAAATCATCATGTAACCGTCGAGAATAGTTGATCTAACGGTTACCAATCCCGACAAAATAATTTTGTAACGAACCGCAATGTCTAAAATGATATTAAGATAGTCTATGATCCTTAACCGACACACTCGTTTGGCGTGGCGTATAATGTAATCTCTCTTTTGACTCAAAGCCATGTGTCCCCCCTATTCTTTGCATGAAAGTGATGTGGCCACGACTCGCTTTGAGTATCTATTTATCTGATTTCGAATAGATATAATGATGATTTTATTTAAAAACTTCAAAAAAAAAAAA